CTCCCACTATTCATAATTTGGAAACAAAAATTTTGGGCCACAACGTGTGATGCAGCGACCGCTCGAAAACGATCAGCCGACTGCAGCACCCGTGTGGGCAAGAGCTCGGGAAATTCCTCCAAGCAGCGGATAATTCAGGGTTGTTTGGTGTCCAGTGTGTGAACACGCAAACAGATAGTGACAGAGAGTGCCTCTGACTCCCACCATTCATAATTGGAAACAAAAATTTAGACCACAACGTGTGATGCAGCAGCCCCTCGAAAACGATCAGCCGAGTGCAGCACCCTCGTGGGCAAGAGCTCGCGAAATTCCTCCAAGCAGCGGATAGTTCAGGGTTGTTTGGTGTCCAGTGTGTGAACACGCAAACAGATAGTGACAGAGTGTGTCTCTGACTCCCACCATTCATAATTGGAAACAAAAATTTGGACCACAACGTGTGATGCAGCAGCCGCTCGAAAACGATCAGCCGAGTGCAGCACCCTCGTGGGCAAGAGCTCGCGAAATTCCTCCAAGCAGCGGATAGTTCAGGGTTGTTTGGTGTCCAGTGCACGAACACGCAAACAGATAGTGACAGAGTGTGTCTCTGACTCCCACCATTCATAATTGGAAACAAAAATTTGGACCACAACGTGTGATGCAGCAGCCGCTCGAAAACGATCAGCCGAGTGCAGCACCCTCGTGGGCAAGAGCTCGCGAAATTCCTCCAAGCAGCGGATAGTTCAGGGTTGTTTGGTGTCCAGTGTGTGAACACGCAAAAGGATGTTGAAAGAGAGTGTCTGTGACTCCCACCATTAATAATTGGAAACAAAAATTTGGACCACAACGTGTGATGCAGCAGCCGCTCGAAAACGATCAGCCGAGTGCAGCACCCTCGTGGGCAAGAGCTCGCGAAATTCCTCCAAGCAGCGGATAGTTCAGGGTTGTTTGGTGTCCAGTGCACGAACACGCAAACAGATAGTGACAGAGTGTGTCTCTGACTCCCACCATTCATAATTGGAAACAAAAATTTGGACCACAACGTGTGATGCAGCAGCCGCTCGAAAACGATCAGCCGAGTGCAGCACCCTCGTGGGCAAGAGCTCGCGAAATTCCTCCAAGCAGCGGATAGTTCAGGGTTGTTTGGTGTCCAGTGTGTGAACACGCAAACAGATAGTGACAGAGTGTGTCTCTGACTCCCACCATTCATAATTGGAAACAAAAATTTAGACCACAACGTGTGATGCAGCAGCCCCTCGAAAACGATCAGCCGAGTGCAGCACCCTCGTGGGCAAGAGCTCGCGAAATTCCTCCAAGCAGCGGATAGTTCAGGGTTGTTTGGTGTCCAGTGCGTGAACACGCAAACAGATAGTGACAGAGAGTGCCTCTGACTCCCACCATTCATAATTGGAAACAAAAATTTGGGCCACAATGTGTGATGCAGCAGCCGCTCGAAAACGATCAGCCGAGTGCAGCACCCTCGTGGGCAAGAGCTCGCGAAATTCCTCCAAGCAGCGGATAGTTCAGGGTTGTTTGGTGTCCAGTGTGTGAACACGCAAACAGATAGTGACAGAGAGTGTCTCTCATTCCCACCATTCGTAATTGGAAACAGAAATTTCGACCACTATAGGCGATGCAACGGTCGGTGTCGTTGGTGAGAGATGGGTGGCACGATCGACACAGAGCTGCTTGTGGTGTGCAGGGCTTTTGCAAGGCGGTCAAAGAGTGGGCATGGGTCGTATCTTGCCGGTGGGCACAGCTGTCATTCGGGGCACAATGTCCGGTCGGAAACAGGAATAGAGTACTCGCCAGACCGACAAGGGACTGCCACGCGGTGTGAGCGCCTTCCTGTGTCCTCTGGGCATCCCTCCAGTACGTTGGTCCGACTGGAGTGAGGATGTTCACGTGCTAGGCATTGACGCAGTCCTGCGGGAGGGATCGTGCCATGACGGTGTCCGCGTCCGCTGTCACGTTGCGTGGAACTCCGCGGTGTCATGGGGAAAATACGGAGCCAACAGTGCGACCTCGAGCCGCCTGTGAAAGCGGCACGGCACAAATCTCCTCGCCGACGTCGTCGTGCACCTCCAGCGGGCCAAGGCGAAGTGATTCCATCGCCGAGAGGGAGTCTGTGGCGACAGGAACTCGTGTGGGCGATTGGGATGCTGCCGCCAGGCGGGGAACTGGGAAGTGTCTGAGGCCATGCTCAGTGGCAGGACACTCCGCTCGGCAGGAGCATGCAAGGCTGCCAGCAGCTGTGCGGTGAGGCCCCACAGGGAGCTCCGCTGTCCGGGGAGTCAATTGGCAGTGCAGTGGTCCCAGAAATGTGCGGGCCGCTTCGACGGCCGATCGTCTGACACCGTCCGGAGCGTCTTGGGCGTGCCGTGGCTGGAAGATGCCCACCCCGTCGCGGCTCACAGTGTCGCGGACAAAAATCCGGTGCTCAGCATGAGAGGCGCGGGTGTGGTGCGGGAAGATCCCCATGTGGCTGCGGACGCGTCGCATTCCGTCAAGTACGGCATCTCTCGGAAGCGGAATACTCGTCACTGCATTCCTATGTATCGACTGCGGCATGGTTTCCGAGCAGATTGCGCCACGCTCTTCCTCAATATACCAAAGAAATGTGAGGCGTTCGTGCTGTGTGGGTTCGAGGAACCCAACAATCCTCCGCAGCGGTGCTAGATTGGCTTCCAGGTGGGCAGAAGTATCCTTCGTTGATGCGCGTGGGCCAAGAGATGCCGTACAGCTGTCGCGGTGCCGCACTTCCAGGCTGTGGAGGTAAATGGAGTCCGGACACGGTGCGGTCGCCTCGACACCGTGGTGCAACGCACTGTGAACGCACCCAACGAGAAAGGACCGCATGGTGTGCTGGGACGCACCAGCCTCTGCACCCAGCCGCAGCTGACAGCAAAGGGGCACGAACTGCTGTGCAGCGGCGGTGACGTGCAAACCAAAATTGAGAAGTCGATCAATCGCATTGCCGAGCAGACGCACAGGGTGCGACTTGACGCGTGGCTTCCCACCGCCCAGGCGATACTCGGCCGTATCCTCGCCAGACCGTCAGCATGAAACGATGCAGAACGGAGCGGCCCCGCTCCTGTCCGCGCTGATTATCGGGCTGTGCTTGGTAGCCCATGTGGCCACAAGTGACACGGCAGCTTGCATTGCCGCAGCACATGCACGGCCGTCCGCACCAAAGGCAACAAGCGTGCGGTCGGCAACGTGCATGAACGCCGACGCAAAGTGAATGCCGTCCAGGCGGCGCAGCAGACCATCCACGTGGCGGTGAAGGAGCTGGGGCCGCACAACGCTGCATTGGGCTGCCGTCCTCCGTCCCTGCAGTCTACAATACCAGAGGTTGGTCCAAGTCCATGTAAACTGGTGGACGTCCAGTGGGAGACACGCAGTACGCGTTGCGCAGTCACGTCGGGAAACGAGACGTGGCGGCCGCCGATTCGCGTTGCCTGTGCCGGGTCGTCGGACAGCTCAGAGTCCATGCCGCTTGGGGTGGTGGCGAGGTCCTCTCCTGCCGTTGTTGATCGTGAGCGACCGTCCCGCAGCTCATGGTGTAAATTCGGGTTGCCAGCAACAGGCGCTACAGGACCAGAGCGACGGATGGTGCTCGCAAAGTGAGCAGCGTGAGCAATTTCCAGGGAAGGCTGCAGAGGTTCACCACGTACATTCTGGGGCAGGCCGGTGGGCACACGCGGAAGGCGGTGGTCTCCACGCAGTTGGTTCCAGCAGCGACAGGCGCTCGCACGGCAAGGTCTGGCGCACCAAGAAGGCCACGCCACCGGCACGCCCACTGCACGTCTGGTGGAAGAAACTGCGGCCAATGAGCCTCGTCGCTGGGGCTCACTGGTGCCTGCACTCATGCAGAAGAACCATGTCGGGCTGTTGCTGCACCAGTCAAGCAGCAAGGGCAATCCTGAGGGGCGAAGGGCCGGAAGTTCTGAGCTGCCAGACAACTACGAGGCCATCCTCATCGGGGCTGCAGCTCTTGCGGACACCACCGCAGCGCGTGATGCCGACGGAGTGACCGCAATGAAACGACTGTGCGGTTCTGTCAGTCGGGCTGCAGGCAAACCGTCTCGCCGCTCCACAAACGACAGTGCGCGGGACATTCTCGAGGGGTGACGCCCTCGTGGTCTCCATCGCGTTCGCAGCAATGCCCTGCTGCAATCACACCCACAGAGAGACAATAAAGAGTGCGTGGATGTGTGCCAAGAACACAGCGACTGTCATTGCCAGAGAAGGCCATCGTGGCACCGTCCGTCACGCGTCAGCACATACTAAGCAACACACTTACCCGGCAAAGCAAAAACAACAAGGAGAGGAGAATGACCCCAAAAGCTGGCAGCACCTTCACGCATGGCGGGCATCGTGAAGCCGCGTCAGCCGGCCCCAAGCGGAATGCAAAAAGGCGTCACGCCATCGCCAACAAATTCTTTCAGAGCACCATGCGACTAGTTATGTCTGTGTGCGTGTGCGCTGGAGAAGCAAAAAAAAAAAAAAAAAAGAAGCACAGGGAAGACATCATCAGCGCAGCAAGAGGCACAGCTGGATGGCAGCGATGCATGCGGTACAGCCCCAACCTCTCCAATCACGCACGGTGGCAGCACATACACCCATCCACAAAAACAAAAAGAAAAAAACAAAAGAAAAAACACGGCGGCAGGGTGTGGCTGTGTGTGTGTGGCGCTGCGGGTGTCTGCCCGCCCTGACTGCAAAAAAGAAACAAGAGGGAAAGAAATGTGTGCTCCGCCCCACAGGCCCTCGCCGCACGCCCACACGTCACGGCTCCCTCAGCGCGCCGTTCGTCGCGGCCCCTCCTCATGCGTGCAGCAGGCGAGGCGCACAGGGCCGTCGTCATGAGCGTGTCGGTGGGTGTGCGAGTGGAGCAGTTGGGCGGGAAACACACGGCACCCCTCACAGGAAAAGTGCAGCATGAAACAAGTAAAAAGAGGGAAGAGTAGAAAAGAAAAAACGTCCATAGTGATTGCCCCCAAAAGCAAAAGAGAATTTATGGGGGATGAGAGATTAGAAAAAAAAAACTTAAAGATTGAAAAAAGTGAAACATTAAAAAGAGTACTGAAAAGCAAAAAAAATAAAAATGACAAACACATAAAAGAAAAGAAAAAAAGTTATCTGAGGTGAGAAAATAGTTCCCGGGAGAAGTAATTCTGTGCGGAGGAGGTCGCGAGTGTCCCACGCGGCAGCCAGTCACTCCTCACAGAGCCGCAAGCCCCCAAAGTCCCAGAAGAAGAAGCGATGGCAGCAGTCCGCTCTCACGCACGGTGCCAGCATCGCTGTTATTCCCCTGCGACAAATTTCCGAGGCTGCTGCTGGGTGCCGTAGCATTTACTTCCCTGACCTCTGAATGGGCCTCTCCCTGCCCATCCCTTCCTCCCGCCGTCTCCCCACTCTCACTGGAGCTCACGCTCACCCCAGTTGTCACTGCGGGGTCAACATGCCCCACGGTTTCAGCGGTAGAAGCGTTTGCATCTTCTGTGGCGGGAGTGCCCGCAGAAGTTTGAGGTGGTTTGTCTCCCGGCACCGTATCTCCAGCTTCCGCTCCCACCGTTGGATCACCCACAGACAAAGAAGCGACATCCACGTTTTTACTTCCACCGAGATAAGCGCGCAACTCCAACTGCTTTACCGAACCCTCCCCTGCCGACGTAGTGGCGGTGGAAACTGCTGACGTGGATACATCGCCACTGCCCACACCCTCATTTTCATTCAACGATTCACGCCCCAACGGCGGTTGCCCGTCAGAAGGAGATTGCAACAATGTTCCTTGCGCACTTCCACCTACCGGAGGTGGAATGGGGACTTTATTTGGGTTGAGGGCGCCAACCTCCGCAGCACTCAACGGACGGTTGTACAGCAGGACGTTCGTCACGGTCACGGACACTTCTTCTTCGCTCCCTGCGCTGCCACCATCCCCTCCAATGTAGAGGTGCGAGATCTCGTTCGATTCCGTAGTTTCCAATTCACATTGCGCATCCTCACCCACGCGCTCACCATCGACGTATGCGGTGCTCTGGTTGCCGTTCTGCAGCACAATGGCTAATTGGTGTGTTTTCCCTGGCTCCCAAGGGCTGCTGAGCTCCTCAGACCTTTTTCACCACATAGTAGAATCCATTTCGTTTCTTTGTTGTTGTACGACAGTCCCAGGAGTACAGTCTTCCCATTATCTTTCATCTTCATACCAATCACTGAAATGGGGGTATCTCCCTCCGGCACCTCGTGAACGGACACCGTCGCCACAAGAGTGAAGTTGTGGTTCGCAAAGTAGTACAGCTGATTCTCCCCCTGACTGCCAACGGGCCACTGCGCCCACGCTCCCTGGAAAGTCACACCGCCTTCATGCAATGTTGCCTTCTTACCCCCAACATCATTCTCCTTTACTGTGGCGTTCACCCCGAGGTACTCGTCCCTCCATGTGGTATCAGAGAAGTTGCCGGACAAAAAGCCAACCAGCCCATCCGTCACCTTAAAATCGCTGTAGCCATTGCCAGTTGAGGCACGCTCCGCATCACTTTTAGACTGGCACAGCTTGGAGACACGTTTGTCCACTTCTTTCCACGTCGCCAGCACCTCCTTCACCCGCTTCAGCTGCTCAGTCATAAGCACAGATACCATACCGGGTGATGTTTCTTTCTCATCGCCCTTCTTCTTCTCGTACAGTGCAATCAATTCCTCCTTAGTTTTACCCTCAAAACTTCTGTACAACAGGGAGCTAGCGGCAGCGTCCTCATCATCCTCAGATACCGGCCCAATATCAACAATGTGCGCATTGTCCGTCAGCCAAAGATGGAGTTCACCCTTTTCCACATTTTCCTTAGAACACACAGGCAGGGTGACGAGCATCACTTTTCTCTTATCATTATCAACACCGTCAATCGTCGCTGTGGTGAACCCGCTTCTAACGAGTTTCGCTTTTTTATCCTGTTTTTTGCCCCACACGCGCGAGAGTGTTCCGAGTGCCTCCGTCCACGACTTCCCCTTGTCACCGGACTCGTACACCCTGCGGCGGCCATCATCACACGCAGTCATCATCATGAGTTTGTCCTTCCACTCCACGACGGAGGATCACCGCAGCCATCGTAAGACATCCCCTTCGACAGCGTCCAAGTCGTAAAGTCCTGCGAAGAAGATATGAGCAGCAAAACGGTCTTTCCATCCTCTTCAGTGCCTTTCACTTTCTTCGTCCCTTCCACTGGGAACGCAAGCGTACCGTCCTTTATCCTAACACCCGATCCACCGCCGCCAACCAGCCCTGTTAAATATTCGTGTTGCTCGCAGAAAGGTGTCCGCGGGAGACCTTTGGTATCCTTCCACTGGATTCCTTTGCCACTGCCACTTTCTTCACCACCGACTTCCCCTTTCACCAGCAAAAATCCACGGTCAACTGCATCTCTCTCCTAAACACCAGTGGCAGCTTTCCGGCTGTATTTTCCAGCAAGCATGTAAATATCATTTCCCTCCACAACTGTTGTTGGTCGGCTCACATCCACTTTCTTCAACTCTGTGGAAGGGGCTTTCTCCAAAAATTGTGTCTCTTTCACTTCATTCAGCACTTCCACCGGCCTGTCAGCAGTAGATTCTGTCGAAAAAAGTTGGGATGCAACGCCAAAAAAAAAGTTATCGTTACCTTCCTTCGTCTCTTTGCACTGCGCCTCGGCAACGGCAAACACGTCACTCCCCACTTTTAGAAGGCCGGGAGCGCCCAACGAGTCCACAGTTACACCAGCACCCTCAGTGATGCCTTCCACCCAAACTTTGGTTCAGCTGACTCCTCCACCTCATCCGCATTCACAGTTCCACTGCCGCCGCAAACCATGACGACAAGTAGAAGCAGCACAAAATGGAATAGATGCCGGGACATGTTGGGCCTCTGCCGCTCACTCTCTCTTCCTTCCCTCCTCCTTCCGCTGGATCCGGTCACGCGGCGACGGTTGTGTGTGCGGGGTGCCTTCACTGCAGCAACACGTGAGAGCATACAAATATGTGTGTGTGGGCGCTGTGTGTGCTGTTGTCGGTCCTTTCAGTGCCCTCGAATTTCACAGTAGCAACTAGCGTTTTGTAGTAGCTTCCTACAGTGTGAGTGGGTGGGAAATAAAGAAAAAAACTGCCAATAAAAGGGTGAAACAGTAAGCCCTGCCAGCATCCACAGTGAGTGGCGCCATCATCCCCGCCGCAGTCAATAACAAAAACAACAACAACTCACGCACACAGACACACGGAACAAAAAAAAAAACAGTGCACCGGGAACACATCAACTGTTACCACCAGCAGCAGCAGGAGCCACAGCGGTTGAGGCGTTCGTCACGCGTCGGCACACAAGAAGCAACATCCAAACATAAATAAACCAACGTGATGCAAAAGGGCACAGCCGCCCTTCGCTGCGCCCATGCGCTGCCGCCAGTCCTTTTACTGCTGTCTCCTCCAGCGCTCCCGCTCCGCCACCGGCACACACCACCCCGCACAGCTGGAGGATCCCCCGTCGACGGATCCACAGCATGGGAGAAGCTTCGGCACGTGCAGCTGCTGGAAGGGAAGCAATCCGCACTAGCAAAAGGTACCCTCAACACCCACACCACCCAACTGCCTGCATGCCGCCAAATTCACGCCTGCAACACGTCGAAAAGACACATCGCGGTCTCCCGTGCTCCCTCCTCGCAAGGGCAGCCGCAGCCTCAATCCTGTGCGTGTGTGCATCCTCAACGATCACACCCCTCCACAGCGTGTCAGAAACAGAGTGTGTGTGTGTGCATGTGCTTGTGTGTTTGGCAGCGCCTATAATTGCAGAGCAGCTGTGCGCCACAAGAGAGTCAGAAGAAAGCAACGGCAGAGAGAGGCAGATAGCACACACGCACAAATTACTCATATCATCACACACAAACACACACACGCAGCCCGCGGAATGGGTGCTCTCAACCACAAAACAATGAAAAACAAAACAAAAAGCCGAAGCGTGGGACGACCAGCGCACACACTCTCATTGCTCCCGTAAAGCAAAACACACACACAGGGAGAGAGAGAGAAAGAGAGGTCGCCCACTCAATGCAATGGAAACAAAACAGAAACAGTTACGGTGCTCCGCCCATGCAGCCAGGCAGGACGGCAGCGGTGCGTGTCGTGCAAAAGAGAGCACCAACGGGCCTGCATGGGTGTGCATGCAATATATACAATGGGCACATTATGTGTGTGCTTCGTGGGATGAGGTGAGGGCGAGAGTCCATGCAAGGGGACACACACAGAGAGAGAGAAGGACGAGTGTGTGTGCGGGCGGTGCACGGCTCTCTCTCACTCACTCTCATGCGGCCACCACCGCAGCCGCAGAAGCACACGCAACAACAAAAAGAAGCAAAAGAGGGGAGGTGGTGTGGGAGACCGCGGTGCTGCCGTCACTGTGGCCAGGCGTCGCCGTGTCACCTGTTGTGGCGTTTGTGGTTGGCGCTGTTGTGGATCCTGCACTTTGAGAGACCGTATCATATTTGTTGGCTGGTGCAGCTTCACCATCGGAATTCGTTCCGGGTGGTGTGGCGCCTTCAGTGGAGGGTTGCTTCGGATGATTGGTGGTTGGAGTGCCTTCTGTGCCAGCATCAGACCGCAGGGCCGCGGTTGCCGCGGTACTGCTGTTGCTGTCGCCTTTCTTTGTTGCATCACTCATTTCTTCAAGTGTCGTGACTGACAATCGTGAATTTTCCTCTCCACTTGTTGAAGCGACAGCTTTCACGCCAGTGCCATTCTTCTCTTGAATGCCTCCTACCACAGGCTGTTGAGAATTCTTCGTTTCATTGCCGTTTTCGTGACTTTTATCGTCACCACGGCCAGCTGCAGATGTGGATGATTGAATTACATGCGGTGAGCTGTTCGGTAATGGAGGCTGCAAAGGGTTCGACAATTCTCTTTGATCTTTATTAACTGGCAAACTGCCTCTTGATGGTGTTGCCGTTCCAACACCATGAGGTCCATTCAATAATTGTGGCCGTAAGCCTTCTTTGTCATGCGACTGTTGACCCTTCACTGAAATCAGTTCGTCCTCAGGCTTTTGTATCCCTTTTCCTGTTTCACCAACCTTCTCGTCTTTTCCAATTTCTTTGGTAACATCTTCTTTTCTTGCTTTTTCTTTACCAGCAACATCTTCGGTTCCTGCCTGAGAGAATTCAAGAAGTGGTAAGAGAACTTCTTCTTGTTGGACATTTGTTACTAGTGTCTCTGAGCCTGGGGTGTGTGATTCTGGCGTTTCAGAAAGTGATAAATCCTGTGACTGTCCTCTGTCCCTCTCAATATCAGTGGACGCATCAGAGTCGGGATGTGCGGGTACTTCTTTACAACCCCCGCCGGCACCGCACCACAGCACGCAGAGGGCACACACCAGCAGCACACGGCCAGTCTTCAACATCGCCATCATCACTCCTGTCACTTGCGTGCAGCCTTCAGCACAAACTAACATCCCGTCAACGCAGAGCAAAAAACGAGGCCGTTGTAGCACGCACAGCTACACACCTTGACAAATGGCGGCACCCAGCAGCAACGCATACACCATGAGACAGATGAAACCAATACGAGTGCAGAACTCGCACACCGCCCTGCAAAAAGAAGTTTAAAATTCAAGAAAAAACAAACAATAATTAAAAAAAAAAAAAAACAAAGCTCCAGTGCGCATGCATATGAGTGTGTCCGGGACGCGTTCAAAGTGGCGGATGTGGGAACAACGCGGAGCACACAGGAGGGCAGCGGAAGCAAACAAAGCAAAAAACAATCATCATAATCACTCTTACTTTATACATCGGACCACAGTAGACGTACACATTTCCCCGTGGCTGAGTGCTGGCACGCACAGCCCGCATGCACCTCTTCAGCCCAGAGTGGTGTACGCCAGCGCGGATACGGCGAGCAGCAGCGGGGCACACACCCACGCAGAGCTGCTGAGGCTGCCGTCGATTTCGCGAAGATGTGACGGTGTGCGGGTGGAAGTCGTGGTTGGCGCAGCGGTTGTCGTGATGGTTGTCGTTGTTGTTGGCGCCTTTGTTGTGGTGGTAGTCGTATTTGGTTTTATTTCCGTACCGGCTTTTTTTACATCCGCCGTCTCCTTCAGCGGACTCGGCGCACTCCCCGGGCTCGGTGCCGTAGCGGTTTCTGTATTTCTTGCATCTGCATCGCCCATCGTATTTTTTAACGCTCCCGCATTGGACGCAAGTTGTGGCCCTTCTGAAGCGGTCCCGCTTGCTACCCCCGGCGTGGGTTTCAAATTACCTGTTGGTTGTTCCGTTTCCGCTGTGTCCGTTGGCTTTGGTGCGCCTGATTCCGGCGCTGGCTTGGTCCCCGGACCTTTTACACCCGGCTCCTTTGGCTTAGTGGGATTTGGAGTCGAACCACTAACTGTGCCCTCTTCGTCCGCCATCACGCACACGGATGGGCAGCAGCACAGGGCGAACACCAACAGGGCGCACAGCAGACGGCACATCGTCATCATCGTGAGTGTGGTCGTTCAGTGGTGTGGAGCTTATCTGCACAGTGAGGGACATGGAGAGCAACAGGGGAGACGAGAGGTGCGGCAGACACACACACAGAGGGCACACCACATGAGGAGAAGGCAGCAGCCAGGCATGCACCGTACGCCGCACACCACGCACGACACACACTCCAATCCACGGCAGCAGGCACACACACACACACACAGCCCTGCCGCAACACCAACACACAGATGGAGGAGGGAGAAGAAAACAGGAGCGGCACACAAGGCTCCACCGCATGCACATACGGCGAGAGCGGTCCGTCGTGTCGGCACCCCTCACGGAGGGTACGCAAACCATACAAGAAGAGGTGCAGCGCACACGGCAACACAAAAGCAAAGTAACAATTAAAAAGGAAGAGATCCCCGCACAACACGCGAATTGTTGGTCCACGGGAAGTGCAGCCAATATTCTTTTTTTTCTACTATTACCAGCGCGTCTAGCTATACAATGCCATCTGGGTGCCGAGGAGGCGGTCGAGCAGCGACAAAAGTTTCCTGCTATGAAGCAACTGCCATTGAGAGAACTTTCCGAGGCGAAGGTCCTGTTCAATGCCCAGCCGTTGGCGCACAGCCAAGGTGCCTGGAAATTCTAGAAGCAGATGGTGCAAGGTTTCCTGCGGGCCAATTGGCGTGCTTGTGGAAGCTGGCTGATCCTGCGGTAGCAGAGATCGCCTCCTGGCACTTCTGTTTCGATGTCGTGTGGCGTCTGGGTTGTGTGCGCAGCGACTTCTGTGCTGTGCGGTGCTTCTCCGTGTGGGGAAAACCATGTCACAGAAATCGCATTTGAGCCCGGGAAGCGGTGGAGGATGTTCCGGATGAAATGACCGGCAGTGACTGACGAGATTCGAGAATCCCGTCAATATAGAATCGCAGTACGGACATTTCTCCTTCCGACGACGTGTGATGGTCCGTCCCCTTACTGGAGAGACGTCTTCATCCCTTGCCGACGGGGGAACAGCTTCCGTCCCCGGTGCAGTTGGATCGTTGTTAGAGCGCATATATGCAGACTGTTCTGGTGAGATGTTGCAGAAACGGCATTGGTTCGTGCAATCTCTCACAGCCCAGTATAGTCGGCCCCAGAGCTCAGATTCACCGCACCTTGCCCTTGCGAGGTGAACCAGTTCTTGACGGTGAAGAACTTCCTGAGTGATCAGGTCCTTGCCGCTGAGATCTGATGGCCTTGTGCCGCAAAGCAGGTGGCAATGAGTGTCTTGACGAATGGTACTACACCACTTGTTGGTGAGCTGGGTAGTAAAACATGTCAGCAGATCCGTATGCCATAAAGGTGCGATTCCATGCTCCGTGTATTGTCCAGTCGCCATAGTCTGCGTCGCATACTGATCCGCAAGCTCGTTAGCATGTATTCCACAATGTCCGTAACAAAACTGCAGGTGCAAAAACCAGCCAGCACACGTCAGTGTCAAGAGACGCTGCCAGATCTGATCCTCCGTCCAGTCTGTCTGACTGAGCGGGCCCTTGTTTAGAGCCGCTAGAAGAGACTGACTGTCTGTAACCACAAGCAGGGTTTTATGCCTGTGCTGGATGCGAGGGATGATCAGCTTCTCTAGGGCTAGAAGCAGCGCACGGGATTCCGTCCTGTAGCTGCATGGGCGTGTGCCGCAGTTTATACTGGCCTTTTCTATTATCTCCGATGAATTGAGGGATGAGAGCAGTATGCCAGCCCCGGCAGACTTGGGAACGTCGACACCGCCACTCTTCGCTAATATCTACGAAAGATGGCTGTGCAGCCCTAGAGCCTCTCCGCTGACTCTGCGCTTTTCCTGTATCAGCTCTTCCTCGTCAGTTATTGAGTGGTCTATCGGAAGTTCCACGCCAATGGTGACCCGGTGAGCGGAGGCCGCAAACGAGGGAGGAATGGAGCTGCGAAAGAACCGCTCTTCGCGTGGTGAGCTCTGAGTGATGCCATAGACCTTTGTGTATGCGTCTACGAAGGCGTATAGCTCGTCCCGAGATAATGGCGAGATGCGGAAGCCTGCGCGAGGCGGTGGCTCAGGCGGGGGTCTCCGCATCCAGTCCATCTGGCAAGCGCGTGTGTTCTCAAATATGGAGAGCCGCGCGCGCAGGCAGAGGACATGGAGCGGCGGCATATTAGCCTCTAGAAGTGCGGATTCCGGGTCGACAGTGCTCGGAACTCCGCTGACAGTGCGCGCCAGAGTTGCGTACGTCTTCTGCATCTCATTCTTCGCTGAATCCGCCGCTACTGCCCATATGAGCTCGCTGCCATAGCGCAATTTGGAAGCACCGTATCCAATGACGAACGTGCGTAGTTCATGTGGAGATGGCCCCGCCTCTTTATGCGCAATGCAGCGTAGCTGCGATATCCGTTGCGAAGTGGCAGCGCATTGCTTGGAGGCCGCCACATTTAGCGTCCGTCGTAGATCGAGATCCATGCCAAGAAGCTTCGTAGTTCGCGATGCCCCCATGGTCATGACTGGGATTTCACATCCAGCCACTACCAGGGGCCACTTTCCTTCACGATCATAGTTTGACTCCGTGTGCGTGGAGAGTGTGAACCAAGCGGCTTCACACTTTGACGGGTTAATGGCCAGGCCATTTTCCTGACTCCACGCATGCAGTTTTTCAAGAACCATGTTGGCAGTGGGAATGGCGTCTTCCCGGGACTGCCCCTTAACGATAATAGAGAGGTCGTCCGCATACATGTCTGCTGTGACACCCGCAAAGCTGTTCAGCAGATTGAGAAGTGGGTGTGCGTAAAGGGAGAACAAATATGTTCCCAATACGGCCCCTGAGGAACTCCTCGCAGCATGGGACGCCGATCGCTGTGTCTGTTACCAACTCGTTTCTTCGCGTAGCGACCACATAGAAAGTTTCTAAGCCACCTTCTACAATTCACCCCCGGAATATTGGCTAGCAAGCGACTGAGGACTCGATGATCTATGGAGCCAAAGGCCTTGCTGAAATCAACCAACACCAGCAGAGTCCGATGGGGTCTGTAGTGGAGTTGATTACCAATACCGCTCTTCTTGGGAAGGTTCACTTGGAAATAATGATTTCTATTATGCTCCACTTCGTGTATCAGGTGTGCCAGCTGCATCGTCGTGGTACGCATACTACGATATGCATACTGGTGGGGGTGAGGCGTCCACACCCAAAGCAATCTCTTCAGTACCATTTTCTCAGCAACCTTACTCACAATGGAAGTAAGGCTGATGGGTCGATATGACTCAAGCAGTTCCGGCGACTTACCGGGTTTTAAGAGTGGGACGATGGTAGCGCTTCTCCACTCAGCCGGGATCGTACCGGTCGTCCAGCTGTGGTTAATGCAACGAAGAAGGAATCGAAGACCCTTTGACGAAATATGTCGCAGTGCCTCACTGTAGACTTCATCCGGTCCGGGGGCCTTGCCATACGGCGTATTACGTAGCGCAGCAAGCAGTTCCGTACGATTAAAAGGTGCATCAAGAGGGGAGTGAAGATGAGCAACTAAACCAGATGTGGTGGCAGCTTCGTTGTTATCCTGTGGCTCTGAACTAGATGAGAGTGAAAAAACTGAATTAGATGTAGCGGCAGACTCGTAGTTGTTCTGCGGCTCAGAGATACAAGAGATAAGAGAGGCAGAAGAAACTAAGCTAGATGTAGCGGCAGACTCGTAGTTGTTCTGCGGCTCAGAAATACAAGAGATAAGAGAGGTAGAAGAAACTAAGCTAGATGTTGCGGCAGACTCGCTGTTGTTCTGCGGCTCAGAGCTAGAAGAAGTAGAAGAAAATGAAGTAAATGAGGCAGCAGACTCGTTGTTGTTCTGCTGCCTAAAAAGAGAAGAAGAAACAATGCCCAAAGATGGGTTCTGTCTTTTGATGCCTTTGGAAAACCTTACTGCCTTGTGAGAGGGGTGAAGTGGAAAAAAGATACGATTGAGAGCATTCGCTGCTCTCCTTGCTGTTTTATAAGTGTGTTGACCATCTCCCAACAACAATGATGTAGGAGGTGGAAGTGATGCCTTTTTTCGTCCGGAAATGTATTTCCATGCGAGTGGTTCGCCTGGATTTAACTTGCTGATGCGACGTAGATACGTGTTACGCAAGCGCTCTCGGACTAGGAGGAAGAATTGACTCCTTGTCCGTTGCATTTCTGCCTCACGGTCGGGCATCGGTAACTGTAGATAGCGGGCCTTGCTGTCGGTAGCAATCCGCTCTGCCTCCATGAGAGTGTCGTCCCAAAGCCTGGGACCATCCTTGTGCATGCCGCGGGGGCAATGTCGTCGATACAAAGTAATAAGCGCTCTCGTGAAAGCTTTAATGCCGGTGGACTGCTGTTTATAGTCATATGCTGGAAGTTGTGCGTCGAAGTCATTTACAAATAAATCCCATTTACACTTCCCCCAACTGTAGAATGTCTTAGGTGCCGAAGGGGGTGCCGAAGGTATGGTATCCATAAATGCCTGATGCAGCGTAAATGTTAGCATGTAATGATCACTAAGCGGCGACACAGAAGCTGACCAATCTGACACAGTCAAATGCTTTGACCATGCCAGATCGATACAGGATCGTTCTCTTGTGCCACGAGCGTACGTGATCTCACCAGGGGTGTTAACCAAGGTGAGTCCCGCATCCGTGCACAGTTCTAAAAACTCTGCAGCAACCTCGCTTGGAGAAGACTCCAAGAATGGCTCCCACTGTGGGTGATGCATGTTGAAATCCCCGCACAGCAGGAGCGGCGACGAGGCTGGAAGGCAGTTTATTAACCGCCTGAAGGATTGTGTTACTTGCGGTGGTGGTCTCATATAGGCACTCGCCACAATAAGATCACGGTTCTGGTCCAGAGCAACCTGAACCACCACCACTTCAAGGCTGGTGTCGCGCTGAGGGATGGTGAGAGGTATACGCTCGGAGCGGAGAGTTTTCCGCACCAGCACCGCCACACCGCCTCCATTGCCGATGCGCGACTGTGCATAGAGCACATAATCTCCAGTATGCATACTGGCGATCTGCTCCGACGACTTCCAAGTCTCCTGGATGGCTATTATGTCTGCTCCTTGCGCCATTAATGTTGCGAGTTTTGACGGCGTGAGGCAAGAAACATTCATCTGGAGTACTGCTATGGGGCCTGGGTTCTGCTCGATGTCTCCGCTTAGCAGTAGCTTTTGTCGTTGCGCGTCACATACGGCACGCAAACAGTATGTATAGCGCTGGTAAGCGCCGATGGAATTCGGCAGCGGATAGAAATACCGCTCCGCGGGCAGCCATGTAAATGGCTCCATCTGGTGCCCTGCCAATATTCATTTTTTTTTTTTTTTTTTTTTTTCTTACCAGTCGTAGTAAATACACCTCAATTGTGCAGCTCTGGTAAGCGTACGAAGGAATTCAGTAGCAAGGATAACCTTACTCCGCGGGCAGCCATTATAGAATGGCTCCAACATCTGCCCTTCCGGCCCGTAAAACTAAGTAACAACCACTCATCGGGTTTGAAGCATGAACAGCAGGCACTTAACTTCCTCTCTAGTAAGAGTGCTAGACCCTGGCACCGCGTTGAGGTGGCCGGCTGAGCCAGGGGCCAACATTCATCACAAAGCAGCTTGTTATCTTCCCGTCGCCGGACACTGCCACAATAACGAGTGAGCAGCGCAAGGGGCGTCCGCACAAAAGTGGCAAGCATTCCGTCGCAAACGGGCCGTCGTGCGGGCTGGGGCAGTCCATATTCTCAACGACGGGGCATCACCACAGTGGATGAAGCGGGGTCTCCCGTGGTCCGTCGGGGGATCAGCAGCCCGTGGCGTCTGCGATGCGGTGGTGGCGGAAGAGCCTGGTCCATATCGAGTTCCCGCGTTTGTGCTTCCTGCGCGTCTTTCCTGCAGGCATGCTTGGCAACTTCGGTGGCAACCTGCGCGCGAGGCGCCTGTTAGGAATACGGTGGAACAATCGCGGCACCCGCATGTGAGGCCTCTCCGACCATCGGAACGCAAGGCCGAGCACGTCGAGCATGTGCCGTAATATTTTGGACGAGCGCAGTCTGCTGCAGATTGGGCCGGGGAACTTCAATCCGCCGCTCGCTTGTCAGCAAGGAGTTGCGGCGCTCACGTCGGGAAGAGGCCCCGGCGGAGGCAGCGGCGGGCCGCTCAGTTCAGTAAAAAAGGGAGGGACGGCACGACCGATACAGGGGTTCCTTGTGATCCGCAAGGCGCGCGCAGGCCTGTCGAAGAGTGGGCAGGAGTCGTATCTTCCCGGTGGGCACAGCTCTCATTCGGGGCACAATATCCGGATCGGAAACGGGAATTTATTCCTCACCACACCCACAAGCTTCTGTCATGCGGTGTGTGCGCCTTCCTTTTCCTCCTGGAAATCCTTCCACTACGGTCGCTTCACTGCGGTGAGGTAGCCCAATTGCCAGGCATTGACGCAGTCCTGCGGGAGGGATCGTGCCACGACGGCATCAGCGTCCGCTGTCACGTTGCGTGAAATTCCGCGGCGTAATGGGGAAAATGTGGATTCACCTGTGTGCCCTCGATCCGCCTGTGAAAGTGGCACGGCACAAATCTCCTCGCCGACGTCGTCGTGCACCTCCAGCGGGCCAAGGCGAAGTGATTCCATCGCCGAGAGGGAGTCTGTGGCGACAGGAACTCGTGTGGGCGATTGGGATGCTGCTGCCAGGCGGGGAACTGGGAAGTGTCTGAGGCCATGCTCAGTGGCAGGACACTCCGCTCGGCAGGAGCATGCAAGGCTGCCAGCAGCTGCGCGGTGAGGCCCCACAGGGAGCTCCGCTGTCCGGGGAGTCAATTGGCAGTGCAGCGGTCCCAGAAATGTGCGGGCCGGTTCGACGGCCGATCGTCTGACACCGTCCGGAGCGTCTTGGGCGTGCCGTGGCTGGAAGACGCCCACCCCGTCGCGGCTCACAGTGTCCCGGGCGAAAATCCGGTGCTCAGCATGAGAGGCGCGGGTGTGGTGCGGGAAGATCCTCATGTGGCCGCAGACGCGTCGCATTCCGTTAAGTACGGCATCTCTCGGAAGCGGAATACTCGTCACTGCATTCCTATGTATCGACTGCGGCATGGTTTCCGAGCAGATTGCGCCACGCTCTTCCTCAATATACCAAAGAAATGTGAGGCGTTCGTGCTGTGTGGGTTCGAGGAACCCAACAATCCTTCGCAGCGGTGCTAGATTGGCTTCCAGTTGGGCAGAAGTATCCTTCGTTGATGCGCGTGGGCCAAGAGATGCCGTACAGCTGTCGCGGTGCCGCACTTCCAGGCTGTGGAGGTAAGTGGAGTCCGGACACGGTGCGGTCGCCTCGACAGCGTGGTGCAACGCACTGTGAACGCACCCAACGAGAAAGAACCGCATGGTGTGCTGGGACGCACCAGCCTCTGCACCCAGCCGCGGCTGACAGCAAAGTGGCGCGGTCGGCGTTGCGGTCTGGTTAAAGAATTTTTGTTTTGTTCCCATTGTGGTGCGTGACGGCGGCAATTCGGCGTTTCCAAAGGGCGCTCCGCAGGAACACAGCGCAGTTTGGAATAACCAATGGACGCCTGTCCCCGTGAAGGCGACAACAACGGCCCGGATGGCAGCAGAAGGCACAGCGGCTTTATTTAACAGTGCGTTTGATGTTAATTTTGTGGGGCTTTTGTGGGGGAAAGTGGGAGGTTGAGGGCATTGGGACTGAATTCATTTGAGTGGCTGCGTTCCGTTGGCTTGCGGCCAGTCGTGGCACTCTTTTGGGGTTTGGCAGATCGTCTTTTTTGTTTACTTCCCACTGCAGCACGTGGATAACACTGTTCCGACGAAAATTTGTTTGACCGCGTGTGAGCTGCTGCCGTGCGTGGTGCATGGACTATGTGATTGTGTGGGGAGGTGCATTGGGGTGACGAACACTTCTGTTTGGCGTGTCGCGGTGTGTCGGAATGATGTTTGGATGACATGTGAAGGGTGTTGTTTGTAGTTTGTGTGTCTTCTCTGGTGGAGCCGACATGTGTGCGGGGATTGTGGCATTGCTGGCTGACGGTTCCACGTCACTTTTCAGCATTTCTGGATGTGCTGAGGAATGACGGCTGGCGACCAGCGTGTTGGTGCTGCTGGTGGGAATAAGTGCATCGGGAATAGGCCATTTTCTCTTTTCCGTGCTGGAGCCGATGAACTGGCACGAGGGCACCGGCTGCAGGCTGCCTGCCAGCACGTGTGAGCAGCGGATCCATGCACACACCGACGCTCATCGCAAAAGCGTGTGCGATCACAGTGGCCTTTTGTGGCGTGCTTTTATGGACGTCAGCCCATCGAAGAATGTGTGAAGCAAACGGCTGACTGCACACGACGAAAATAAGTGCGTGCACTGTGCCGTGTTTCAGCGTCGATGGCAGAGCGACAGGAAGCCCGTGCTGGCAACTGAGATCTTTGCGTTTCGAGGGATGTCGGTGTTGATTTTGGATCGTCGAGGGTGAAATGATTTTGCTGCTGCCCGTGTGTGTGTGGACACTCCGGCAGAGGGCGGACACAAAAGGGAGGGATGCAGGCGCTGCGTGTGTGTGTGTGCAGGTGCCATGCAACAACGTCACAACAAACATGCTGCGACTCGGTGACCCTCACATCGTTGTGGTCCTGACGAACAGCCCATGCACGGCCCACGTCGATGCACTCAGTGGACGGAGTGAGGCGTCTTTTGAGGCGCTGCAGGGAACAGGATGTGTCGACGCAGCCACGACGTGCATGGAGTGTCACGATGGCACAGTCAGCTGTGGCTGGTGGAATATTTACTTCTCGGAGGCAACAGAGAGAGAGCTGCTCCTGCTGCTGCTGGCGTCGTTGCTGCCTCTTGTGGCCTCCCATGCCGATTATTGTCTGTCCGCTGATCATGGGTGGTGCGCCTCCACTAGTGACGTTGTCTGCAGGCATTTCACAGCACCAGTGAAACACACATCACGTCGCATGCTTTAGCTGTGGATATGGTGTTGTGAATGCAGCCGGCATTATTTTGCCCGACTCCTTTTCACTGCTTTGCGACGAATAGATGCGTCGCCGCCCGAGTCATTCACTGCAGCTCCGTGTGTTGTACTGCCAGCACAAGACTCTCTTGTTGTCTGACGCCTGGCTGACAGTCAAACACCACTGCGTTGGGACATGCAAGGATGTGGACTGCCGCTCACGGTGTTGGGCACCGCTGTTTGGATGCGGCGGCCACACGAGCGGATGTATTGTGGCACAATCAAATGCGTGAAATACGCTGAACCACAGCGGCTGCAGTAATATCAACGGTGTGGTACCACGGAGTATGTGAGAGGGTGATGCATGATGAACCACAGTGGGCGGCATGCGAGGGAAGTGCACCGCGACGGAGCGCCATCCCGCCCTCAGCCTGCAGGGGAATGTACACCCACAGAATATATGGACGAGGCACCACCAAACACACATGCCCTTCCATGCGCCAATAAATAGGAGCGAAGGTGCGTTCTGGTGTGTGGGAGTTTACTCACATATTTTCATTTCCACCGCAATAAACGGTGAGGAATCAGGTGCCACAGCAAAAAAAGGAAACACAAACATCTATTGTAACACTTTACCAGCGAAAGGCAGGAGCAACAGAAAACGAATTATTGACTGCACCAACACAAGAAACATTCACAAAAGGAAAAAAACAAAAAACGCATGCAGACATCGGCCAACATTTAAGTAGAAACACAAATAAATGGTTGCTTGCATTATGCCATTCCCTGCGCTTATTTTTGCGTGTGCGTGTGCTGCTGCGATGGCTGTGGCCAGACCTGCAAGAAGTGGTGTGCGCTGAATATGAACGAAGGCCGAAGACAACCCAATTGTTTTTGTGATGAATATTGGCCGCACTTCCCGTGGACCAACAATTTTTGTGGTGTGCGGGTGTTTTTCTTTGCATCAAGACCTCGTGAATAGAATGATCTCGGGAGAGCTGGCTGACTTAATTGATGTATGTTTATATCCTGATAAATGAAGACATTCTTTATGATACTCTCTACCGTATGAATCTTTTGGGAAGAACGTGACTTTGTAGGGGCAGGGAGCCGATAGAGGCCAGAGTATTTTGTTTTTATTTTTTACAGACACACAGCCAGGTAAGTTTAAGTAAATGGCATTGGTTCCCTACACACCCTCCAAGTGGTGTGATATTGGCGCCCGTCTCTGGGACATGTTGAGCCAATGTGGAGAGACCCAGGTGCAGATGACGTTTATTAATGGTAATCAGATGTCGGACGAGACGTTAACTGTGGCCGCATCATCGACAGGCTTATGCTTGTTCCATGGACCTACCCCTAAAGCATGACAGGATTCTACTATTATTGGAAATATTGCGAATCTCCGGGCGCCTCAGATCCCTAATTTCGAGACACAAGCGCTCCTGCCCGCTATGGGGGCAGCCCGGGAGTTGGGGCACCAACAAGGGCCCATCACTGCTGAAAGCAGCAACTGAATTTTGATTACGCTAACGCCGTCGCGGACGTACAGAATCGGAATGATCAGCTTAACTCGCAGGTTGAGGAGGCGCATATTAACCTATCGGTAAAGGAATCCAATATCGCCGGGGCCGGCAACCAGGTCCCAGAACTACAACAGCAGTTGGAGGCCGCTCACGCCCAATTACGGGGGCGCGAATTCAACTTGGGAAGGCTCACGGGTCAGCTCCAGGAACGGGAGGCACGCCATAATGCACAACAACCCGCGCGGGAGGCGGAGACGGCGGGGCGGGACGAGGCACCCGCTACCCGACACGTTGCCAACGGTGGCGTATCTACACTACCGCATCAAACGGATATCTTGACGGCTGGAGGCGTGCCTAGCAGCGCGGCCCGACACAGTTCGGCGGCTTACAGAAGCCCTCACGGCAATGTTGGGAGACCACATTTCCACCCTTCCACGCCGTTGCCTTCCCGCACTTCTCCTCTGGGCGCCCGATCGCCTATGGAAGAGGACCGCGGTTTCTGCGCATTCGACGTCACCACGCGGCCCACGCGTATATGGAATGAGGGCGCCTCCGGAGTCGTTTTCGACCTCCGGTGCGCATACCAATGCTGGCAACTGGACAACGAGCAGGTTAAACTTGCCTTTGAAAATTTGGTCGAGTGGATCAGCGTGCTGGAAGGCGGGCAGGATCCCACCGATCGCTTCATGAATTTGGGGAGGTCCCTACGGAATACATTCCGGATGCGACTCACGATTGCATCCGATCCCGGCATCCGGCTCTCCAAACTGCGCGCCCGTCTTTACACCGCTGTTCACCAGACGGACACCAATGCGAAGGCAGTCCAGCCTCTCGTCGATCGGCGAGAAACCCAACGCACTTTGCGATGCCAACGTTGTCATACCTATGGACACGAGGCATCTACACGCAATGTGCGCCCCAGAAGGAATTACTCGCGGCGCAGATGGCCGTCAAAAAACGGGCAGTGGGGC